TGTATTTTGCATATGAGAGCAACATAAATAATTTGTGGCTAAAAGACAGGCTGCCCTGGTCTTATACTATGGCCACAAATTATTTGATATTCTTCCCTTCGAAGGAAATTTGGAGGAGTTCAGTTCTCCTCTTCTTGAAGGTGGGCTGTACTTAGCCACTTACTTCTAATGAATAGAATATGGCAGAAGTGGTGATGTGTGATTTCCAAGACTAGGTTATAAAAGGCATTGTGCTTCCTCCTTGCCTTCTCTTGGATCACATGCTATAGGGCCGACTTTTTCAACCTCAGCACTATTGATATTTTAGACAGGATTATTCTTTGTTGTGAGGAGGTGCCTGTGCATTATGGGATGTTTAGCAGCCTCCCTGGCCTCTACTCACTCAAAATTCCCAGAAATTGAATTGTTGTGTCAAAGGCTATATACATCTGTACATATGTACACACACACACACACAAAGTTGCTTATTTATTCTGTTTGTTTTTTTTTAAGGCTTTGGATAGCCAAATTGCCCTACAAAAAGTCTGTATCTTTTCCCACTTTCACAAGTTGAATATATGCACCTTTTTCTTAGCATTTTTGCCAATATTAGTTTTGTCTTAAAAAAAATCTTTGCCGATTTGATAGACAAAAATTGATACCTTGTTTTAATTTTTTTTTATTGGTGACCTTGACCATTTAAGAAATGATTTTGGTCTGTTGTATTTTTTTATGACTTAGCCCATTTTTTTCCTGCAGCATGAGCAAAAACATAGAACCTACTTTCTATGTGAGCAGAGCAGGTGGCACTGTACATTCTGGTGTGGAGGACTGGAGAAGCCCTGCTTCCCTCGCCACCCCTCCGAGGCAGGAGCCCACTGTAGGAAATTCTTCCTTTAGAAATTCATTCCTTTGGTTCGTTCTCCCTCTAGATTTTAAAATATCAAGCAAATCCACTCTAAGGTATTGGCGACACATCAACTTTCTTTTTGACACATTTTAACAGTTACCAATACTTACAGTGCCATGGTTGGGTAGGTGGGTGGGATCGGGAAGCAGTTAAAGAATAATACTGAAAAGAGGAAGAAGACAAGAAACGGGATAATGGTCACCTCAAACTTTGCCCTCATCATAGTTTTGCTTAGGTATGTCCTTTTCTAGTCTACCTAACTCTCTCCCAAGAAGATAATTGTCAATTCTTAAAAAATTTTTTTTCGGGAAATTTGCCTCTTTTTTGGTGCTTCACCATTCCTGATATTCATCCATTCATTCAATAAATGCATAGTTTGAGCCCCAGCTATGTAGGACTCTAGGCACTCTGCAGGACACTAGGAAAAACCTATACCTTCCCTGCCCTCATGAGCTTATACTCTAGTGAGGGAGACACACCATTAATGAGTAATCAAAGAAGATAACATGATGAATGATGGGCGATATAATGGCTATCAGTGAGGTGCCGGAACTGGGAATGATCTGCAGCAGCTCTGCTGGCCTGTTGGTGCAGGAGTGGTGCAGGCATGACTTTGGAGGGGGAGGTTGAGAAAGAATTCTGACCTACGTTCACTTCAGTAACAGTTTGCTCTCAATGCAAAATACACTTAGCCCCTTTCTAGACGACCCCCATTTCAGTCCAAGCTGGCAGTGTTTATTGCGCTATAGTTCTTCAAAAAACTTTGCAGGTCTCCTGTGAATCTTAGACGGTCCACATCACTATTCATGAGCCAAAACCACAAATCTCTTTTATTTGGGGCCGCAGCTTACGGGATCTTAGCTCCCCAGCCAGGGATTGAACCTGGGCCCCGGGCAGTGGAAGCACAGAGTCCTAACCACTGGACCGCCAGGGAATTCCCCACAACTATCTTGAAGATAAGTCCTTCTCTACCTTGAGAGTGTGCTGAAGAACAACGTCCTCCACTTCCTTAGACGCTCTATTGTTTGACTAAAACTGTGAGGCACACTTTTAAAAATTTCAGTAGCATTTTTGTCTGCCTGAATGTACTCTGAAGCGTCACCTTTGAACTTTCTGAGGTCTTAACAAGGGATTTAACAATTACATCCTTGGATTTATCTTTAGACCATGTTTTCCTGGCATGTCCTTTGATGTGTTCTTTTGGATTTGATCTTTGCTACAAATCATTTCTTAATTTAAACATCATTTGTCATCTGAGAGGCTAGGAGTTTACAAAACCATCAAGTCCTGGTTGCTTTTGGTTAAACTGTCCCTTTGGCTTATCGATCTCCTCTTGCATTTTACTATAAGCAGCAAGAAACCAGGCGGTACCTTCAACACTCTGTATAAAAATCTCCTTAGTTACATCACCAGTTCATTAGGTAGTTTTTCTACTTTCCACGTTACTTCAGGTGACAGTATGGATAAACTTCCTGCTATTACATAACAAGGAGACCACTTCTCCCAATTTCCAACTGCATTTACCTCATTTTCCTGCCAGCCTTCACCCACAGCCTCTTCACAGTCTATGAGACTTCTGCCAACAGTTTCTTCAAAGTTCTTCCAGTTTCAACCCACTTCTCAATCCTGTTCCCTTTCACATTTTACATTCTTGTTATAGCATCCCACTTCCAGGCACAAAAATCTATTAGTTATCTATTGCTGCATAACAAATAATCAGTAAATTTAATGGTTTAAAACAACCAACATTAGAGTCATTTTTATGGGTTAGGAATTCAGAAGCATCTTCTCTGAGTGGTTCTGGCTCAGGATCATTCATACGGTTGCAGTCAGGATGTCAGCAGTGGTTGCAATCTCATCTGAAGGCTTAATGGGGGCTGAAGGATCCACTTCCAAGACGGCTTTTCACATGGCTATTTGCAGAAGGCTTCAGTTCCTTGCCATGTGAGCCTTTCCATAGACAGCTTGGGTGTCCTCACAACACAGCAGCTAGTCTCTCCCAAGTGATTCAAGTGAGAACGAGGAAGCCACAATGTCTTTCATGCTTTAGTTTCAGAATGACACCTCATCACTTCTTCCACATTCTGTTCCTTAAAATCAAGTCTAGGTACAGCCCACATTCAAGGGGAAAAGGGGTTAGGCCCTGCATTTTGAAGACAGGTGCATCAAATAATTTGTGGACCTTTTTTTAAACAAACACAAATCTCCCAAATTAGAAAAGTCCTTGGGATTGTCTAAAGTAATCTCATGTCTTGCAGCTATTGAACTGAGAAAGAAAAAGAAAAAAAAATGATCCTTTAATTTGCTGAATTAAAATATCATTTGAATTCACAGCTTTGTAAGATCTCGTAGGTGAAGACAGAGTATAGATTGGGAAAGAGCGAGACCCTGAATGCTGAACTGTGAACATATGGGAATGTTCAGATGGCTTCAAGTTCCCTAAACTCCCAACCCTATGAAAATATGCTGCTCAGATCTCCTGTTGCAAGGAACACAAATGACTGATGGACCCAGCTGCTACCCCTCTGGATCTTTCGCCCTCTCGCCGAGGCCATACTCCCCTGGGCTGCTCCCAGCCAACGACAGAGCATGCAGAAGTGCCAAGGCAGGCCCATTTTAGCAAAATGTGCGACTCCTCCTCTTGGTGACCTTGACTTAAGGTCTCCCCATTGGCCTGGCCAAACCTTCCTTTGAACTGTGCTGCAGTTCAAGACCGTATCTTCTTTTCCTCCCTCTGTCCTTCCACAGGGATCACACACGCATCAGAATCTAAAGGCTCTCCCTCGGTTCTGCCACTCCCACCCCAATAAACCTCTCAAGCATCTAATACCCTTTTGCCGTTTGCTCCCCGGCAGACCCAAACCGCTGCAGCCTTCCTTGTCAGAGAAGTTCTCCCTACTCCCTCTGTGGTGAGGATTTTCCCACTTTGCGCGAGGACTCTGTAATGACCTTTGTGGAAATAGGCTGGTAGGAGGCCGGGGTAGCCAACTCTTTATTCTTCACCCCTAACATCCCTCACTGCCTTGAATGCTACCCATGTGCTAGAGGCAGTTTATCCTAGCTCACAAAAGCCAACTGTTAAATTTGCAGGAATTTAGCAAGTTGGTTGGCAAACACAGTCATTACTAAAACTTAAATAGACTTACAATTAAAATAAATTATATCAAAACCAAAGGTAACAGAACTCAAAACCTCATCTCTTCCTGGTTTTTAACACCTTTTTGTTAGCACCTATGCTCTTGAGGTTATTTACATCTATTATGTCTGGGTGTTGGAAATAACATGTAACGATGTGCCACTTGCACTTCTCTTTGGATTTTGGAGGCCAGATTTAGATGTGCTGTTTCAGCTCATTGCTTTAGTAATCTGAGAGGTTGCCGGCTCTGAGGGCAGCCTGAAGCAAGAGAAGGCTTTCAGCTGGTCCCGAAATCTCTGCCCTCTGATCCAATGTATCCAGCGTGCTCAGAGCACCTGTGGCACAGAGAGCTGCTGAATGGAGCTTCGGCACGTCCAGAAAGGCGAATCAGAGCACAGGCCCCCAGGGCTTTGCAGCTGAGCCAGGAGCTCTGTGGCACGTAACTGTTCTCCTTTGGAGAAACCAATCTCCGTTTGTTGCTTGGCACCAGTTAATACGGCAGCCTGATCCTGAGACCTTAGGTAACCAAGCGACTGGTGCCCATCGTCCACCAAGGTCATCTGATCCACTAAGCCATAAAGTCAGCTAACATTTAGTGTGTGTGCACAGTGCCAGGCTGTGTTCTAAGCACTTTACTGGTAACATTCCCTTTAATCCCCACCACCATTCTGGGAGATAGTACTGTTATGATTGCTACTATCCTTACTTTAGATGAGAAAACTGAAGCAGAGAGAGGATAAGCAACTTGCCCCATAGTCATATAGCAAATAAGTAGCAGAGCTTGGTTTGAATCCAGGCCATCCTGCTCCAAAGTCCACACACGTAATTACCAAATTATTTTGCTTCTCGTAATCAAGTGAAAGTTTTCTATTTAGGGCTGGGCTTGACCAGGAATTGAAGACAGAACAAATTGCATGGTGTGCCCGCTCCTACCACCCTGTCATCTTCCTCAGCCTACACATTCTCTACACGTTCTCTTAGTCCAGGTGATGAAACAGACAACCTCCACTATATGACGGCAGCAGCCACAAGTGGACTGCCACAACACTGTAGCCCAACTCAAGGGTGGCCCTGAAGAGCAGCTGAGAAGGGGAATTTTCCAGTAGACAGAAATGTAAGCATTTCATCCTGTTGACCACTTTGTCTGAAAGGAGAAATGGGCTGAGGTGCATGTCACCAACTAATGGTCAGCAGCTGATGGCTTAGCTTAGTAGCCAGAGACTTGGAAGGATCAAGAATGCAGGGATAGTGACAAAGAGATTTGGGAGAAGAGGTATACAGGGGATCGCTCAGAATGGATCCAGAGTATGGGAGTATTTGGTTCTTTGTGAATACCCACCAAAAGCCCTCCACTGTAGAGGAAGCGCTCAATAATCAGGTGAAAAGTTTGACCTATCCTCTGCATGCCAGCCCGCTTCCTTCTCCAGAAATTCCAATGTTGCCCAGTGATCTCATGGGCAAAGTGGGCATGGAGGCAGAAATGCAGGCTCCACGTGGGTTCAGCAACTTGGATTTCCCCTCACGAAGGCTGCCCTGGCTACTGCTTCTGTGGAATAATTGTCCAGTAATTAAAACCAAACTTGAGTCCCTAATGTGAATTAGGCTTGAATGTAACAAAGCCAGGAACAATGTGTCCAGGGGAAGAAATGCATTCTCTCCAGACCACCGCCAACACCATCTTGGCTCAGCACTTGAATGTCAGAATCCTGCCCCAGCTTGCCTGGTAGAACTGGATGCCTCCTCTGGGCTCTCAGGCTTTGGGGCTCCCATGGGCTACCAAGCAGGCATGTATGACAAGTTGAAACAGCAAGGGAGGCAGAGGAAAGTGGCCTGACTAGACTAGCAACCTATTCTGCAATTGGATTTGCTTTCCTGCTTAACAAACTTCTGCCCACACCAACATTTCTACACTTCCTGCATGCTCATTCACCACCACGGTATCCCACTCAACACTGAAACTCATTTCACAGCAATGGGCTGACACTATGCGTTCATTGCTTCTGTCATGTACTCCATCACCCTAATGTGTCCAGATGCATAGAGTGTATAGTAAAGACTCACTTACAGCCTACAGATTATTGAAATGGGATCATGACAGACCCAGAGGATGAAAGGTCATCCATCACCCAGAGATTCTGTATTTGAAGACAACTACTATAACTGATAAAACTTTGGGATCCAATATCCTTTAAATAAATTCCTTTGATTAAATTATCCAGAGGGTATTTCAGAGGGAAAGATCTGGAAGGATGCATTCCAATGAGTAAAGAGTAGTTACTGCTGACTCTATAGGAAGTATTTGTATTTTCTACGTTCTTTTTGTTAGTCTATATTTTCTAATTTTCCTAACATGAGCATTAACATGTTAAATAAAATAAGTTTTAAAAATTTAATGTAAAAATATGTCATCTTGAGTTTCCATTAAACTTTATGACCCATGACATTATATTATAGGTACACATTTATTATCAAGATTAACATGCCAAAAAACCCTCAGTAAGCTTAATTCAAAATGAAAGAAAATTATATTGTAAAGAAAGAGTAAAGGAGCTATTCACTCAAAACCAGGGAAAATAATACTCTGGGAAAATGAAATAAAGCAATTCTGCTTTTTTATGGTTTTATTTATTTTTACAAATAGTTGATACAACTATGTAATATTGACAATGCTATCAAAATGTTAGAATACCAAATATGAAATTGATCTCACGGTTGATAAAATATATAAAATATTGATTAACTGAAGCAGAAGACTATTCTGAAATGTTTGTATTAGTTATAAATTTTATGAATGTTGCCAAGTCAAAATTGTACAACTATGGTGGGACATTCATTATAAATTTTGTTTAATGTTTAAAGAGAGAGAGAAATAGCCAAGTATATAGTAAATGAAATCTGTCTAATCATCTTCCCAAGATTCTTCCATGCTTGAGTTATTTTACAGAAGTCTTGTTACATTCACATTTACATTCCTTCCTCATACACATCTTCTCAAGGAACTAAAAAAAAAAAAAAAGATGAGAGAAACTCCTTTAAATTGGCAAACGAAAATTGTACAGTCTAGTCACAACCACTACCATACCCGAATTCACAGTCTCACACTCTGATGTATATCCTGATAGGACCCAAAATCTGATGTCGATGATAGACCATGCGAGATGGTGGACTTTGGAAAGTAGTTGCACACCATCAGAAATATCTAGATATAATTCACACTTTTTCTGTGGCCAAGTCCAGCCCGGGCCAGCTCGGCACAGCCTTGTGCTGCTCATCTCTGCTATTAAAGGCCTGGGGCTTCTGTGTAGCCGAGGGAATGAAGCTGTAGGTAATGCACAGAGCAGTTAATCCAGCAGCAGATACTGGAATGTGTATGTTAAGTATGTATGCTCACGTAACATACATAAACATGTATGTATACAAGGTGTACATAGACATTTAAGGGAGTAAAAAGAGAATGAATGCTCACATATAAATTTAAATAAGTAATGATTTTATATATAGATAGATAGATAATTTACCATAATAGATTCCCCCCTCTCTTTTAGTTGAAATCCTACTGATAAAATAGAGGATATAGGATGTAAGAATAAAGGGAGAAAATATTCCAGGGTTTTGAGTGACAGGTGTTCTCAGGGGACTCAGCCATACCCAGGGGCATCACCTCTCTTTAGTTGATGCAGCTAAAAGAGTAACTAGTGAGTCAGGCATGCTTCCTTTTGCCCAAAATTGAACTAAATGTTCAGCAGCAGAATGGATTAAACCAACAGGGGACAAATCAAAATAAATAAAGCATCCTCTTTTGCCACTAAAGAAAAAACTATGAGTCACTATAACGTCAAGAGCAAACAGGGATATATATGTATATACGTATATCTCCTTGGCAAGAAGAATATATATGTCTGTGTGTGTGTGTGTGTGTATGTGTGTGTGTAAATACACATATATATCACATAATTATATTTATGCTTAAGTATAATTTTGTGTGTATTATATAAATATATAATCATACATACAATTATGTTATATAAAATATATAAGCATATTTAATATATTATACATATAAATATATAAAATATACTTATGTAGGCCATATATGCAGATGAGGCAGTGACTAAATACATAAGTACAAAAATATGTGTAAGTATATTAACTATATCTTATATATAAGTATCTTATATATAAGATATATACTTATATCTAAGTCTATAAAATATACTTATGTAGGCCCACTGTTGATGCTCAAAGCTATTGGAGAGATTTCATCCTAGTTCTAGAATGGAATCTTCTAGCCCATTAGTCTATTATCGTACTCTAGACTTTCCCTTCACATCACCTGATTTAACTTTGAACAAGTCTGGATCTGAGATTGGTCAATATATCTATTTGCCAGTAAGTGTAAGCTGTTGTTAGTTTTATCGCTCTTAGAAAAAAAGAAATCCAGTATCCTAGTTCCAGGAACTTCTACCATCTGGCTGCATGTCCTCCTAAGGACTCCACGGGCCGTGAGCACAGGGGACTCTGGACAAACACAGAACTTATCAGCCACGACTTGGGCCCCAGGCCCAGCTGGCTTCCTGCCATGGTGACAGGGCTGCTCTGGGGACAGATCTCCAGGCTGCAGGCCCTCCTGCTAAACGGTCTGCTCTGCCAGCCTCCCACCCCACTCTTGTTATCTGTGGCCTCCCGGGGGAGCCCTCCACGTGGGAGGTGGGGGGACGACCAGCACTACAAGCTCAGGGAGAGGGAAAGACAAAGTGGAAAAAAGAAGAGGCTGCAGGGCTGTCCGGGAAGTGACCTTTGGCCCTAGTCTGCGTCCTCATGTACCCCACAAATAGCACAATAATAGTCCCAGCTCCACTCCCAGCTCCACTTCGTCCTGACCCCAGCATGGCTCCTTGGAAGTAGAAGTGAAGGAGACTGGACACTTCCTGGAGAATTCATTGTTTTAGTAGCAGGCTCACGCCCTGCACATGGATCCCTTTCACTTTGGCCCCGTTAAGGCCAAACCCAAGGAAGGTGAGTCAGCAGAGAGACAGCAGGAGCCAAACAGGCTCCTGTCTGCTCCTGAAAAGAGCAGGACGCCAAAGCCCATCTGTGGGCCCCCGTCTGGGGAAAGCACACCCCTTCTCCCAGGGCTGAGTCCTGGTGTGTCCCTGTAGAAGAAGTATTTTGATTTTGTCAGGGTGCTGACCCCTTCCCATCAACAACTGTGAGCCCCTCAGCAGGTCTTTCTGAGGTCTTTCCGGCCCTTTACTCACACTCGGCATCCTGTAGCCCCTGCGCAGAATGAAATCCTTAAAGGCAGCTGTTCCATGAAGGTCTGCAAGTAACTCCTCCTAAAAGAGGGTCCACACTTTAAAAAACCGGTCAGCTGTCAGAAGCTTGATTTCATTATTTGTCCTAATTAAAAGCACGTAGCCATTTATCAAGTATGTTATTTTAAACGACTTCCTTCTCATTTAGGAATATGTGTGTAAATGACATTCAGAAGTTGATGCATACAAAGGCTTTCGAAAGATAGCCAACCTTCTCTCCTTTCTCTGTTCTTTTTCTTACCCTTGTATCAAGGATAAGCAACACATTTTATCAATTAGATCATTATTGACCTAGGATGTCCGGAATCTAATCTATTTGAGATTAATAATTATGATACTGTGATTTATAATAAGAGACAGATATTGGGTCTTCTTCCCATTCCTGGCACAGAGGCCTTAAAACCCTTGGAATTTCCTAAGTGATGAGAGCCACAACGGTGAGAGTCTTTCCTTATTCATAACAAGCCCCTTTCAACCACATTGCAATTTATCTTAATGACGTGTTTTTTGGAAAGCCCCTAGATACCTACTAGATGGGGGCTGGTTGCCAGGGAAACCAACCACATGATTAGAGGGTTGGCACTTTCAGCTGGAGGTTGAATTAATCACTAATGGCCAATGATGTAATCAATGACACCAATGTAATGAAGCCTCTATACAAACCCAAAGGAGGGGGTTTGGAGAGCTTCCAAGTCGGTGAACATGTAAAGGTACCTGGAGAAGGCAAGGAAGCTCCAAGCCCCTCCCCACGTGCCTTACCCTATGCATCTCCTCCATCTGGTTGCTCCGGAGTGTACCTCTTTATAATAAACTGGTAATCTTACTAGATTGGAAGTAAACTGTTTTCCTGAGTTCTGTGAGCTGTTCTAGCAGATGATCAGACTCAAGGAGGGTGTCGTGTGAACCTCTGATTTATAGCCAGTCAGTCAGAAGCACAGGTGACAACCTGGACTTGAGACTGGCATTTGCAGTGGGGGCAGTTTTGTGGGACTGAGCCCTTAACCTGTGGGATCTGATGCTCTCTCCAGGTAGGTGGTATCAGAATTGAGTAAAATTGTAGGACATCCAGCTGGTGTCAGGGAATTAGAGAATTGCTTGGTGTGGGGAAAAAATCCCCGACACATTTGCTGACCAGAATTGAGAGTGGTAGAGGAAGAAACGGGAGTGTTTTCCTACTCAGTATATATCCACAAATTTTAGATCTTAACTCCAAAGGGCATGATAATCAAAAAAGATTTGATCCAGTCCCAACATCTTAGGGGTATTCATGCGTTCATTTGGCTTTTCCTTTTATTTATTGGAATTTAAAATTTGGGATGTTGAAGTTTATATCATTGTAATTCAGTTCTTTAAGACCATTTCACTTTCCAAATGAACTCAATCAAGAATAGTCAAAAGTCATGTGTTTCCAGCAAGAGAGTCATGTCATCATGGTGTCCCTTACCAGCACACGATTGCACCCATGTCTTGTGAACTGACTTCAATATGAGGTGGCATTTGCACTGTGACAACCTTCAGCTCAGATGATCAAGTCTCAGCATATACACATACCTGTTCCCATAGCTCCTTTTTCATATTCTCATCTTGAGCTTTATGTAAGACCTTGGGGTCAACCAAAGGCTCATCGGCTCTTTGCTTTTTCCACAACTTGGTGTTCAGATACCATGCTCCGTACCTCATCTTCACCCACTTTGGTTTATAAGGATTCTGTAGAAATAACATAATTCCCAATTTCATTAGTTTGTTTGGTTTGTCATTTCAATAAATCTAAGATTTAGCTTATGAAAGCAGTATCATTTATTTTTAATCTATGGTTACTCCTTGCCAAAGTATTTTATGAGGTTTCAGTGTGCTTTGATTTACAAAGGTAACATGAAAAGTTCATGACTGAGAAAATAATGTGGTAGTTAAGCATGGCTTTTGGATTTAGACAAACCTGGGCTTAAATCCAGCCTTCCCCACTTAGTAGCTCTGAGTCCATGGACAAGTTAGTTAAATGCTTCATTTGTAAAATAGAGATAATAGTATCTACCCCATAGGGTTGTTGGGAAGACTAAAGGAGAGAACTATATAAAGCAGCTAGAACTCATGTAAGAATCACATATTTCAGTGAAGGGTAATGACCTTCAACAATACTCAGTCAACCAAAATAAGAAGTTATCAGCCTCTCTGTGAGCCCAGCTCTATACTCAGCTTTGTAAATGGTACACTACTTTTGATCCAAATGCTATTCAACACCAGTCTCTTGCCTCTTTATTTTTTAATTAAAAAAATATTTATGTATTTATTTATTTATTTGGCTGCACCATGTCTGAGTTGCGGCACGTGGGATCTTCATGGCCGCCGTGTGTGGGATCTGCAGTTGTGGCATGCGGGATCTTTTTAGTTGCATCATGCGAACTCTTAGTTGCAGCGTACGGGATCTAGTTCCCTGACCAGGGATCGAACCCGGCCCCCTGCATTGGGAGCGTGGAGTCTCAACCATTGGACCACCAGGGAAGTCCCTCGCCTCTTTAATTGGAAGAGAGAAAGAGGGGGAGGAAGAGAGAAAGAGGGGGAGGAAGAG